TGAGGAAGTAGACTTTAGTTTAGGAAAGCTCATGCTGCCAACTTCTTTCTCTCACTTAGTCTCAAAGGTGCTACAAGATGTCTCTAAATACTGATTCTACAGACTAACATGGCTTTAAAGTCTTTAAATTCTAGCCCTTTTCTGAGCAAACTTTTAGTAGCAAGCAGTGCAAACAAAAAACTGTCCCCTCCTCTGCCCCTGCTCCACTGGTAGAAAGAAATCCAGGTGTCCCACCTGAACAGGTGAGCTGCCAAGGCCCCTGACTTACCTGCGCTGGCTTTCCTCTCTTTCTAATCCTCCAGCCAGGGAACTGACCAAAGTCCTACTACTGTACTGTACTTACTTGGTGCTGCTGACTTCATCCTTCTCCAAAAGCCCTTCGGGGATCTCTCTTTGCGTTGGATCTCCTCCCACTTTTTGGCTTTCTGACTTGCTTTCCTCTTTTTTTGCTAGGTGCCTCCTGCTGACGCTGGGCTGAGCAGCTGCTGGGAATCCAGCAAAAGAGAGAGAGAGAGATCTTCTTGCTTCTGTCTCCAAAGGCGACTGTGAAAGGTTTCCTTGGCCATGAAGGGTATTTATAACGGAGTTTGAGGAAATTCCAACGAAGGTGAAAGGTGTGGCCATTTACACTAATTGTGAAAAGGAAAAAGGGGTGTCATTTTTTTTGGGGGGGGGGGAAAATAAGGCAAGGAGAGGGAGGGCTTAATAGGCTGGGATTCTGGTAAGTTTTCTATGGGGTTGGGTCCCCATATGAAGGAGATGGGAATCAAGACATCTCCTTCAATTCTCATTGATTTCAATGGGTCTCTACTTAAGTGTGACTTTAAAAAAGTATGACTTGGCTCAGGACTCAAAAAAACAAACAAACCCAAAACCAAAAAAAAACCAACCCCAAAAAAACCTTAAGATGCTTTTCCCTGTTTTCAATGTGTCTCTTCTTAAGTGTCACTTTAAAAAAATATGACTTAGCTCAGGGCTCAAAAAATCCTAAAATGCTTTGCCCTGTTTTCAGTGGGTCTCTTCTTAAGCGTGACTTTAAAAAAGAATAACATAGCTCAGGGCTCAAAAAAACTTAAGATGCTTTGCCCTGTTTTCAATGGGTCTCTTCTTAAATGTGACTTTAAAAAAGAATGACTTGGCTCAGGGCTCAAAAAACTTAAGATGCTTTGCCCTGTTTTAAAGTCATACTTAAAAAAAGGGTGAGTGATCTCCATTCCCTGACTTAATAATTCAAAGTGTAATACCAATTTGATGTTATAAAGGGCATCCTTCCACTTTCATCTTCTTTTGAATCTCTTTTGGAACTACAATGAATATAGATCTGTTTTTAAACACAGAAATCATAATAAGATGAAATGTCAACATTTGTAAGTGAATGATCAATGAAAGAAGAATTAGGATATGAGATAGGATAGTATCTCAAAACAAAGTCACTAAATGTCTCCTTTTTCCTTGGTCTAATTATATTTCAGTAAATCCCACATCTTCTTCAGCTGTTCTCTTACAGAAGTTGTGACTGAGTTGCTGAAGTAATCATGTTGTATTTTCTTGGTAAGATTGGTTCCGAGGAGGTTTGCCATTGCCTTCTCCTCAGGCTGAGAGAGTGTGACTTGCCCAAGGTCATCCAGTGGATTTCATGGCCTAGTGGGAAATTGAACATTGGCCTACAAAGTCATAGTCCAACACTCAAACTGCTACACCATGCTGGCTTGTGAAGTTTTCTCTTTAACTCAAATTAACCTTTTTATATAGGCAAATCACAGAACATTGAATGTTAGACAGTCTTCATCACTCTGGTGCCCTCCATATTCTTTTGACTACAGCTTTCACCATCTTCAGTAAACATGTGTACGGATTTTTTTCTTCAAAAAGTGAGATGTGTTTCCAGTTTTAATCTGGAAATAAGGGCAAATACTAATGTTAAAGTCTATTTTAAAATGTTAACTTCATTGTAGTTCAGTTCAGTTATTGATCACTGGCAAGTCTGAAGCCTATGCTAATCACAAGAACAGCCTAATTATCAATCCACACACCTTGAGAAAACTATCCCTGAAGCCAGGTGGTCCTTATTAAAAGGTATGAGCTTTATTTGAGGACCAGAAAGCTTGCTCCTAATTATATCTGATGGACCAGCTTCAGCCTTTTCCGGGGAGGAATAACTTAGCCACATGCCCATGCACTGGTTACTTCTCAGTTAGACTAAAGCAATACACTGTATGTGGAGCTGCCCTTGAAGATGACTCAAAAGTTGCAGCTAATGAAAAATGCAGCATCTAGAGTGCTCCCAGGAATTCTAGTTCTGAAGTAATTCCACTGGCTGCCCATACATTTCCAGTCTGAATTTAAGGTGCTCATAATAACATTTAAAACCCTAAATGGCTTGGGACCCCCATACTTGAGGGAGCACCCCACGGTGCTTGCCTGAGACTTGAGATTTACTGAAGGGGCCCTGCTCTGAATCCCACCAGTAGAGGAATTACATTGTGGGAGGATATGTATTTTGGGGTGGGGGCTCTTCATAAAGACAGAAACATGTTCATTGTGTTGTAGACAAGTATGTTAATTTTTCAGAGAAATGCAGTTGCCCCTCTGTTTTCACGGACTTTGAGTCCACGATCTCGGTCCTTAAAATGGCGCACGTAATATTTGCGATTTTCCATTTTTGCGGGGAGGGGTCGGTGGTACCAGAACGGATCCGCTGTGAAAACAGAGGGGTGACTGTACATGGTGAGATTAACTGAAATGAATACTTCCATTTGCTACTTAGGCAGAACATAGATTTGTAGCAGCTGCTTCCTATTTTATCAACCTTGCATATCATGAATTTCAACTGTCTCTTGTTCCTAGTTTGCACTACCCTGAAGGGAATCCAGCGTGATATAGTGGCTTGAGTGTTAATTATGACTCCAGAGACCAGAGTTCAAGTCCCTGCTCAGCCATGGAAACCCACTAGGTGACCTTGTATAAGTCACAATCTCTCAGCCTCAGAGGAAGACAAAAGCAAACCCTCTCTGAACAAATCGTGTCAAGAAAACCCTTTGATAGTGTTGTCTTAGGGTTGCTATAAGTCAGAAATGACTTGAGGGCACTCAACAACAATAACCCTGAAGAGACACAAGCGCTTGCTCTTGAGCATGAACTAACTCTGGAACAGAAAACATAATTGCTTATTCTCTGAAACTGGCCTCTGAATTCCATGTGGTGTGAATCCTGAGCTTTTTATTGTCTCTGAAGAACGAAGCCAGCAATGGAATAAGGAAACAACCCTATGTATTTGCCTGAAAGTAAACTGCATGGGCATTGATTTAAGGGAGAATTATTAGGATTGATCTGTAAGCCCTAAAAGTTCATGGATAAATGTTGTGTTCTGTCTGTCAGTCCCAGGCTGGGCAAGGACCAGGGGAAGATGCTGAGAGGGCAAATCCTAGGAACTGCAATCCACAAAAGTAGCTTTTCCATGCTTTCAATGAGGAAGGTAAAAGCAATTGCTGGGACAAGTCCTACTGTCTCTCCAGTTGCAAGCCTAAGTCAAAAGAAGAACTGGGAGAAGCACCTATCAGTTTGGGTTTCTGAGGTGTTGGATAACCACAAAATACAGGATAATATCCCACCTCTCCTGAAGTCTCTGATTAAGGATGAATGCTGGAGTTATCAGATTGTGGTGCTTCTAGAATACTCACTGTGATGAGTGGGACTATAAACTGTTAATGTGAAACAATCAAATTAATTTTTGAAAAATGTTTTTAAGAATTTTTATATTTTTAACTATATGTGGGGCAGCAGGAATCTCACTCAAGGAATGTGGATGCTTGACATACTGAGCATCACTTTGTGAACTGTGTAATAAACATTGGTTTACAGGAGGTATAAAGTAACATTTCTCACTCTCAGAAACTTAGGTTCATGTCACACATGCAGAAAGGGCTAATTTCAAAAGGATGAAGTATATGGTTTTTATAGTTAGGGCTGGCTGGAGTAAGGCAGCAGAATCTGGGTGTCAGAAAAAAGGAAAGAAATGGTTGTTTATTTAATATGCTATTACTGTGTTTTTAAGGGACAGGCACTTGCGGGATTTTTCTACTTGGCTGTCAAAATAATAATAATACCAAAATATTTGGTATTTATTAATCTAGACTAAGCAATCCTCACACGCATACACTTGTAGATCAGAGATTTGAAACTTCTGTAGGCCTACACTGGATTAGAGGTTGGCATATTGGCCGTGCTGGCTGGGAGATTCTGGGACTGTGACAAAAAAGTAACTTTTCCAGTCACTGATTTGGAGTATACATTCTTCCCATTCCTCTATTTCTTAGTATAGTTTTGTTGGGATGAAACCTGAACTATTTCCTGAATCGTCCCATGGCAGTAGGTCCCACCATGGGTGTATAATTATTAATTTGTTCAGCTCTTGTGACATAGAATCAGGCTTGTCCCAAAACATTTTGTTAAATGTTAGAGCAAGATGACTCTTTCACTCCATCCTCAAATATAGATTCTGACCAGACCGATAGCTGAATTTTACTTCAGCAGTAGCAATGGATCAGTATGCATCTGTGTTACAGAGTTATGTTGTTGTGTGCCTTCAAGTCATTTTCGACTTATGGCAACCCTGTCATGGGGTATTATTGGCAAGATTTGTTTAGAGGGGGTTTGCTATTGCCATCTTTGAAGTTGAGAGACGATGACTTGCCCAGGATCACCCAGTGGGTTTCTGTGGCTGAGCAGGGATTCGAACACTGGTCTCCGGAGTCATAGTCCAACCCTTAAGCCATTATGCCATGCTGGCTCCCCTTCAGGGCAATGTTTGCTGAGATAGGATGACTCTAGTGTCCAGAGTCATAGTTCAACCTGCCACTACACTACTCTGGCTCTTATACCAGTTTGATTCTACTTTAACTATCAGGACTTCATCCTAAGGAATCATGGGACTTATAGTCTGAGGTCGTTAGAATTCTCTACTCAGGACAGTGGACTACAGCCTTGTAGTAGAGAAGTCTAAGGACCTCACCAAACTACATATCCCAAGATTCCACTGGTTGGAGCCATAACAGTTAAAGTTATATGAAACTGATATAGTGGTGTAGTGCAGATACACCCAGTGCTTACCACTGATCCAAGGGGAGCAGCTTAGCTTAGGTGGCACAAGGCAAACCACATGAATTACACATCCCTGTCCTCATCACTGATGCTCCCCAACTACAGAATCTGGTGCTTGAGGCAAAAGATTGCTTTACTATGCTTAATGATTTCCCTGGAAGAGCTTCTCTAGCCCAAGGCTAGACTGAGGGTAAATCCGTATTCTCGACAGTAAACTAGCAAATGATTCCAATTCCCATTTTTCCTAATAGAATTCAAAGACAACTCTGTTAGTATGCAAAATAAGTATGCAAAGGGATCGTGTAGCACCTTTGAGATTAACTGAAAGAAGCTGATAGCTTAAGCTTTTCTAGATTTGAGCCTACTTTCTCAGGTGCAGAGAGTACAGAGACAGACCTACACACAACCAGTTTATATAGGTCTGTCTCTGGACTCTCCACTCCAGCCCATGCATCTGAGAAAGTAGGCTCAAGTCTACAAAAGCTCATGCTATTAGCTTCTTTCTTTCAGTTAGTCTCAAAGGTGCAACAAGATTCCTTTGCATACTGATTTTTCCTAATGGTAGGGACACGCAAATGACCTTTGACTCTGAATCTGGACTGTTGAGATTAAGAAAGGCCAGGGGGAGAGTGGTTATAACCAAGAGTGAATTTTGGGGGATGGGGGCAAAGGATTGTGAACTGAGTTCAGTTCACTACTGGTCCTGAAGACAAATTCCTTGTCTCAGAACATTCTCAGAAGCACCCTGTGTAAGCCTTTTGCATGTAACAGTGCTTGGTGGATTTTACTGTTCTAGTTAAACAAAAACAATGTAGGTCCAATGAAGTTTTTCTGCTTAACATGATCGCAGAGGATGGGCTGGATCGTACAGGAACATAGTAAACCAAAGTGTAGTTGTTATCTCAAATGTTGTCTATTGTAGCTGGCCAAGTGGAAGTAGACAAAGTTTCTATAGATATTATTGCCAACTCAGACTACTCACCATGAACCTACAGTTTGGGTGTTTGCATTTTCTTAGCATGTGGCCTATACTGCATTGGTCAGTCTTCTGTCTGAAGGGCAGTTTAGTCCAAAGCAGATTTAAAAGAACAAGAAACCTAAGAACAGGGGCCTTGAGGTTACCTATCAGCTACTAGCTGCTTGACAGCAGATTAGGCAGGCAAACAAAGATCACCTAGGGCCCATTCACACTGCAGAATGATATTATTCCACTTGAATTGCCATAGTGGAATCCAAGGATTTGCAATTTAGGTCATGTTTAGAATTATCAGCCTCTAGTGCCTCATCAATCTAAAAGTGTGAGGATTCCATAGAAGAAACCATGACAATTAAAAGTAGAGTCACACAGCATTTCCACACTGCAGAAATAAAGCAGTCTGACACCACTTTAACTCTCATGGCTCCATTTTGTGGAATTCTGGGATTTGTAGTTTGGTGAGGTATTCACCTTGTTCTGTCAGAGAGGTCTGGTGCCTCACCAAACTGCAAATCCCAGGATTCCATAGGACAGAGTCATGGCTGTTAAAAGTGTCAAACTGCTTTATTTCTGCAGTGTAGATATGTTGCTGTCGTTGGGTGCCTTCAAGTATTTTTTCTGACTTATGGTGACCCCAAGGCAAACCTATAATGGGGTTTTCTTGGCATGTTTATTCAGAGTGGGTTTGCCATTGCTATCCTCTGAG